TTAATAACAGATATGATTCAATGCAGAGAAGTCTATTAATACATAGTGAGTGAGAAGAAGGCGGCAGGTTATATTTAAAGGTATAGACTGCTCAGTGACATTTGATAAACTGGAAATTTCAAGCTTATATGTCATGTCCTCAGTTATTTTAGGGCTTTTGATGTCATGTGTTTTGTTTTTCATATTGTGAAACATCCTGTAAGTAAAATTAAAGTATACTAATTTTATTTTTTATTTAAAGGTTGTATGAAAATACTCAGCAGTTAAATATAGGTTAGTCCAGGTTAAGCAGGTTTAAGCAGGTTAATTTGCATTACTGTGGTGAATGGATGATGTTGCACTGGTGCAGAGTGGCTGTGATGTTCATGGTCAGTGTTAGATTACATAAAGGGTAGCAGACATAAATTTGAATTTAAAATGATGATGCTGATTAGAGTTGCTCACAGAATTGTGTCTGTATTTTCAGCTTTATAGTGTCTAAGGGATTCTTTCCCCCCAGGCTGCACCACTAGGATTCCCCTGCCTATCAAATCCAACTTTAACCTCACTTTTCTCTTTAGTCACCAATCCATCATGCAGACCGGTGCCTTTAAAAAAATGTCCTTTGTTTTTCTCTGCTTGCATCCTGCACAAGCTTCAGGCTGTGTGGATTCATAAGAATGAGAATTTAGGTTGAAACAAACTTTGTATTCTCTCCCATTAATATTATTTTATTAGTATATTAGTATAACATGAGATTCAGATGGCTTGAAAATGCCCTCAAAGAGCTACTTTTTACTTCGAGTACATTTCAGAGCCTGTACTTTTACACTTTTAGTTTGAGTAAAAAGTCTTTTTTGACACAACTATCTGAGCTTCTGCTTAAGTGAAGAATGTCTGTACTTATATTACCTCTGACATGTACACACACAAACATCAGCTGTTGAAATAATGGCTACATAACCATGGTAACTAATATACATACTAGGTCCTCTTTAATCAGCCACTTAACTTCTAATATCATGATGCCGTCCCACAGAGTAAAGAACATGTTGCTGAAATCAAACTGCGTGTTGGAGGCCTTCGGCAATGCCAAAACCAACCGTAATGACAACTCCAGCCGCTTTGGCAAATACATGGACATTAATTTTGACTTCAAGGGGGATCCCATCGGAGGCCATATTAACAACTACCTGCTGGAGAAGGTATGTATTGCATTTGGTAAAGACTTTGTCTGATTAGTGCTTGATGATCCTAAAATATTTTAAGTGCATGTGCAAAAGTTTTCAGCATTAAAATTAAGTTGCCTGGAGTTTGTTGCAGTAGTTGCCGAGCACGTTGTTCCAAGCTTACCCCGGGCGGTCTCTGTCTGTTCTTTCTGTTTGTGCAATTCCAGAGTGACTGCCTGACATCCTAACCCTACCATATTATTTTTATATGTTTATAAAGCAAAATCATGCAGTGATAGTTACAGATTTAGTTTTTTTTTGGTTGACAAGGCTTCGAGCATTATGTGACACACGTTTTGTTCATTTTCCAAACAGTCCAGGGTAATTTTCCAGCAGGAAGGCGAGAGGAGCTTTCATTCGTTCTACCAGGTAAATATGTGTGCACCTGTGTTTATTTGCATGTAATCATTAAGGTTGTTTGTTAAAGGTTCCCTGTGCATGCACATATGGATTCACATGAATGCAAATGCAGCGGTGTTTCATTAATCCAGTGATCAACAGTGGGCAGTAGTGCAACAATAAACACTGAGTGCAATTAAAGTAAACTGCAACCTAGTAAACATTGATGTAAACAGTCTGTAAACAGGTTAGCTGGACCTTGAAGACAGACAACACATTTTGGCAGGGAAATCTGGATGAAAACACAATTTTAGTTTATTTTTAGAAAAGCTCCACAGGGTCCCCTTTTTAATATGCAAAATACAGACTCAGCAGCAGGATTCTGAATCCCTGCAGCATTTCTGAGTCAAAAGACCTTTTGTTCCCAAATGTGGGAGGATAGTGAGTTGAGGTTGTTTGATGTTGAATTGATTTGTTTATTTATTAGGAACCCCCATTGGCTGTAAGACAGCACAGCTACTCTTCCTCAGTCAGTTTAAAAATAGACATCAACATGTTTCAAAACAACACTAATATTCCGCTAATATCAAAGAGCAAAGAAACAATAGTGACAATCTGTGTTGGTAAAGAAATTCCGGAAATTAAATAGTTGCAGTACTCATTGAGATAAACTCCACAACTGTTGCCGTAGAAACTTGTCAAATGAAACTCTTTTTGTTTGATGTTTGGCAACCTGTTTCAGATACTCAAACACTTTTCTTATCACAAAACAAATGGCCTAGACTTCTTGTGCATATATAACAAAAGCTGTGCCTTTAAGTTATCGGTAAGCCCAGATAATTGTTTATGCATCTCGTGCAAATTGGTAGGAGCAGTGCAGAACTAGTCCGGCTGCCCTGTTCTGCACTCTAGGTTGTTTTATATGTTTTTGTTTGTTTGTTTATTGCTTGCATGAGGAGCATACTAATAGGTCTGCTATTTGAACCAGAAAAGCAAACTTTATAAAAACATTTTTAGTTAAGGGTATCATTTAGACAACTTCCTGAACTCTGGAAAAGTTCCACGGAGTAAACATCTTTTTCTTTTTACTTTTCCTAAATGGCTTAACTTAAGATTGCCATGCTAATGGCTCAAGCTGCAGCATATTTCTGTTCTATATGAGTAAACGCGTCCAAAGTTTCAGTCAACAGCATTAAAAACAACAAAGTATTTTCTTTGTTATCCTTCACTAGCTACTCAGAGGAGCTCCAGATTCGCTTTTACGCTCGCTTCACATCCAGAAGGACCCAAAAGCATACAATTTCATCAAAGTTGGAGGCCAGCTTAAGGTAATCTAGGCAATTTATATACATTGCGATTCACATATGAACTTTGTTGTGGTTTTGTTTTTAAAAAATAAAACTATTAAGATGTGTTTATAGAACTGGCAAAGCATGAAAACCCCTAAAAGAATGTCAGCGTGACAGTAAGTTTGTTTGCACTGGGATAAATACAATCAAGCACACGATTTGCAGATGTGTCTGTCCTGACCACAGTTTACAGGCTTTTTTGAAACAAACCACACAACTCCCATATTTGGAGCACAAGTGGAAAAAATAATTTCATTGATTAAAAATTCAAAGTCACGGTGCATTAAATTCACTGTGGTCTCTTGAGATATGTTTTAATTTAGACTTTGCTGTGTGTTGCCGTCTTTGCCTGAGCTTAATGAGTAGGAACAAAACCACTTGACAGCAACAAATTGCCTGACGTCATGGAACAAAACGCCACCACACAGCCGAGGTGGCGGTTTGTACACAGTTTGCCTCAGCGACTTCTGTTTTTATAGCAAAGCATCTCAGCTAAGAGCTGGTTTGTTATTTAATTAACACGTGATATCCTGACTCGATAAGAGAAGAGAAAGGAGAAAGCACAAAGACTAAACAGAAAAACATTGCAAACTGTAACATTGTATACTAACATCTGTATTTGTTCCATTGACGCATTAAGGGGGATAAATGTTAAAAAGATGTTACTCCGGCTTTGCTGATTGTTTCCTGTTTCCTTCCAGTTAGTTGTTTTGATCTGCTTCCAGTGTCTCTTCTTCTTCTCTCCAGTCTTGCATCAACGATGGTGCTGATTTCAAAGCTGTAGCTGATGCCATGAAAGTGATCGGTTTCACAGGGGATGAGATTCAGACTGTTTACAAGATCCTGGCAACCATCCTGCATCTGGTAATGCCCAGTAATACGACAACTCTGCTTAGTTCTTTTGCCAGCTGTGTCCCAGTGTATGTCTGTGAAGGTTCTCAGTCATCCAGGTCATGGAAACTTCTCTTAGAACTGAAGAAGCTTCTTGGATGAGAGGTGAAGCGTCTTCAAGAAACTTAAAGAAGTCCACTCGCTTTTCTTTCCAAGCTCCTTAGATGTCCCAGAGTACAAACTAGGGCTGGGCTATATTATACCGTTCACAGTAATACCGGTGTAATGTTGGGCAACGATAGGAAAATGAAATATCGCGATA